TTTTATACCTTTTTTAAATGAAATCTTGACGTGGCAGAACATAGACTCTTTAAAAAACAAAACAAATTACTATCCCTGAACTGGCCTCTGTGTTTTAAAACACCAACTGACCAGTGTTAGATACGCAACTGTATAAAGATGCACACTTAGTTTGCACTAGTGAGAGTACTACTTACTTTCTGTGCCAGTTCTAGGTCCAAATTGTGCTCCCTGATCTGTATACATACAGCACACACTGCCTGCTTCTCACACACAGGGGTACACTTGGCTATGGAGGCCAGAGTTTGCAGCATTGTACTTATATTATTGACACTCTCATCTTGCTGTTCATCAGGGGAAAGACGACCCTGAAGATTTTCATTCAAAAACAGAATTAGACTTTAAAAAATAATAAATTTATATTAATAAATAATAATTAAAAAAAAAAACGAACAAAGCGATGCCTTCCTCACTTTACAACTAATACATATGGTTTATTAAAACTTCTTTTTGACCAAGTCTCATAATAGTAAAATTTGGTAAAATGCACCCACTCTATTATAGTACCTGTATGACCAAGACATCCTGCAGCACACTATAGACCACTTGAAATATGTTCTTCTGTTCTTTTTTGCTCTTCCAGCACAGTCTGCCCTCTGTGTCAGGGTGGACAAACAAGCTGGAAGCCAAAATGTTCAGCCAAACTGTATGTGTAATTGAATGAAGGCTATTTTAAGGAATGTCAAAAAGTGCCTGTATTTTGTAATTTTCCGCCAGTTTGGTTTGGGCCTGCTAGATATTTCGAAATGCCTGAGATTATGGTGTAAATTTTTTTCATTTATCAAGTAATGATTAAAGATTTTAAAAATTTTAAGTATTTTCTCATTAGGTGAAACAATAACTAATCTACCAATTTTCTTTAATGCAACATAATAATTAAGGCAAGGTTGTGCAAATTTTGTCAAAAGCAAATAAGCAAGTATCTTAAAGCAGTATACATAAGCCTTAATTACTATGGAATTACTTTAAAGTTTACTAGATATAAAATTTATTCTAATGTAAGCAGAAAGTAAAAAGTATATGCTTAATATATATACAATCCATTATTATACTACATCACAACTCAAGTGCACTCACATATTAATTCTTTCTGCACAACACTGCTGTACCAATCTGCTGGCATCTTTCAACAGTGTACAAAATGTATCAGTAAGGAGTAGTGTATCTTGGAGTCCACTCTTCTCCTGCCAAAATGCCCATTTTCCTGCTGGATCACACTAGAATAAAGAAAAAATCTACAGGGCTGCTATAACAAGTCAATCATAAAGGAAAAAAGAGAGAGAGAGAGAGAGAGAGAGAGAGAGAGAGAGAAAGAGAGAGAATGCATGCATGCATGTGCGAGTGTGCATGATCATACAGATATAAAATACATAAGAAAAATATTTAACACTGCACTTCTCAAATATATGGAATGACTCTCACTATGTTTCTTATATTAATCTTTTAATTTCCAGTTAATTTTTCTTGTGGAGACTCTAGCCTCAACATAATTCTGTTCTAATGCTCATACCTGTATGAAAGCCTGAAAGCAGTAAACCATGGACAACCTCATATTCACAGGCATTGGGATCTTCTGTTCTGTATATTGGATCCTGGATGGTAACAAAAAGAACTACAAACTTAACTGAAGCTTGAATTTATTATGGTAAAAGCATGTGAAACAGAAAAAGCTGCTACTAACAGCAAACAGATACACAGATAGCAGAGCTGGCAATACATACAAACACTTAACAGAAAAGTGATTCCTGTTGGTCAGTTCTAACATAAACAGGCATGTTTCAGTAGACATGGAAAACACTTAATTTAAGTAACTAATGTTCATGGTGGCCAACTTTATGAACAGAATACATTGTCTTTCACAAACATGACTGCTCATTTTGCACTGTCTTGTCTTTAAGCAAGTTCTCAATCCAAAGTTTGTGTACAGGTAAGCTCTTCATTCCACATTTCAATTTGTAAAAAAAAAATTCTACAACCACAATAACTAAATCATTTACAAAATTCAAAAAGGCTACTTACAGTGACGTTAAACAAAATAAGATGCAATTGACACTAGTGGTGAGAATGTTGCAAAAACACAGTTAAGATTTGTTGGATGGTATTTGTGACAGCATCAACTACAGCTTTTGTGATGAATCAGACAGACAAGTAAGCCGAATACATACATACAAACATAAATGAACATCTTCTATTCTAATGTGCAAATAAAAGTTGCTAGGGTTCATGACCAAACACCAAATACCTTTATTTTTATCAATATTCTACCAAAAAGTGCTGAATAAACAAACCTAACTTACTTCATATTAGGTCATCAAAAACATGTACATGTACATACCAAAAGAACCTAAGAAGCTGCAATGCCATCTTTTGGCACTTCTGCATGGTCTCACTACAAGTGGCGCCACCTTCACTAAGGTGTGGGATCATCTTGCCCATCAGCTGAAGACCTGTGGCACTGATCTCATGGTCCAGCTTATGGACCTTCAGCAAAAAACTGAAATATAGGGGAGCAAACTTGGAAATGCATTTGTGCTCTTCTATTGAAAACCAGAAGTTTCGTTAACAACAAGAAGGTCAATTCAGATGGTTCATCTATCTATTCCAATCCATATATATCAGTCTTGGATGTCTGTTGTAACAGCTCAAGTCATACATCAAATAAAACAAAATATATCAAGCTGAAACATTTGCCACCATTGTTAGCTTATGGCCAACATGATCAGTGGGCTACATCAGACTGATGATGAAAGTATGAGGGGACTTGTGGTTTGGAATCAATAACAAGGTTTGGAGTCTGAATGGTATATTAGATCTTGGTTTCAGCACATACCCTAAGGCAGTCATCACATCTTCCAGATCACTCTCTGTGAATACTCCACAGCCCTTGTGTGACAAACCATCCAGCACCAACAAGAACTACAAAAGAACCAGATTCCATTTCCATTAATTTGATTTTAAAAACTACATCCCAACATATACAAATTCAATCCCCACATCACAAAGAGAGAAACAATATATTGTTTTCTCTAATAAGCATGACAATGACACGCAACAAACTTTATTTTTTGAACAATCTAAAAGCACAGATTCCTTTTTGCAACCCAATCTTAACCTCTGATCACTTCCACTACAAACCGCTTTTAGTCAACTCTGAGTGAACTTACTAATTGTAGATCAAATGGTGCACCAGGATCCCAGGACTCTGCAGTGAATATTTCAATTAATTTAGTCCTCATAGACTCTGTTAATGGCTGCTCCCCTAGGCTTCTACAGAGGCAACACAACACACTGGCTGCCTTCAGACTGAGTGCCTGGCTCTCTGTCAGCACACTACTGCTCAGCAGGCTAGAAAAACCTGAGAATTAAGTCATATAAATATAGCTTAAATTGGAAAAAAGAAGTCTTCTGTGCAGAGTAATAGTGATGTAAAAATGTGGTTATAAAACTTGTTTCTTAGGTACACTGAACATGCAATATTACACCCAGTTTCCAAGTTACTGACTGTCCCATCATCTGTCTATTTGAATGCCATCTTTAAGGAAGCACACTGACAGTATCTCACCTTCAGTAACAGTAGCACCATGGGCTTCGGACTCCCCAAATTCCATGCCACCAAAACCATCATCCATGTCTTCAACATCCATGCCATCTTCTTCATCCTCCATTACACTAAGTGGTCTATGTACATTGGCACTGCCTACAGAACCCTAAAAGATGAATGTGCCACTGAAGTCATTACTATTCATTAAACTAAAAAAAAATACCAATGAATTTGATCTGCTCTGTCCCAAAGGGCCTTTGTTCCATAATAAGTGTATCTGAGCTCAACCCTTTCTTTAACCATCGCATTTTTGCTGAGTATATGTGAGTTATATGTGTAGTGTGCAACAATTAACATACATGTACACTTCAAACAACTGGTAATCTGAAAGTGGTTCACATAGGAACAAAAATGGAAATGTGAAAGACGCGTTTCACAAAATTGGTCTAAAAGACATTTATATCTTTTTGCACCAAGCTTTGCAGCAATTCTCCCACAAAAACAAAACATCTGATGCGAGTGTTACCTTGATATGGACAACCTGCAATAAGGCATCCATTACTCCCTCTGCCTCGGCCCCAGCCATACTTGCTGCCATCTCCCTGCTACTGGCAGACTCATACTGCATCAAGGTGTACAGGTGATGCAAATATTCTAGTAACCTCATACAAACCGAAGCATTCTTTTTGTTGAATTCTTCACTCACTTTGTAGGTCAGTGTTCGTATCACCAACTGTCATGATGTAATAAAAGAGAATGATTCAGAAACATTAAATCATGCCCAGAGAAGTTGTCTAGTGAAAATAAATACATATTACAATTAACTAATGAAGCTTTTATTTTAGGGCATGGTTTTCTAATCACACAATCTGAAATAAAAATACAGTTTTAGACCTCAAAGTATCTTAAAGCCCCTAAAGCTTTTGTTTTGCTATAGCACTTGGCACATGGGCAAGCTCTGCACTGTACCTTCCATATCTGTCTGAGCTCCTCCAGTGCAGACCCAGTAAGTGTGAGTGTCCAAACCACTGTCCCCACCACGGCACACCAATACCCCAGGGAATCCACTGAATGCCCCTGAAATCACAGTGCAGTGGTATCATTTTAATGCATTCATTTGTGACAGATTTCTGAAACACAAAAAAGCATTAAATCAAATGTTTTGCACAGTCATAAGATGTTTAAAGACTTGATTTCCATCTCCAATATTTCCCAGCAGTTTTACCAAGAAGTCTTTAATCTTATCATGAATTATGAACTAAAAATAGACAGCTAGACTGACAGTTAATGCAGAATGGTTCTAAAAAAGGTGAAAGGCACCAAAAGCGCTTTATCCAGATTTGAATTTTGAGGGTTTATTTTCAAGACTCTGACATTTTTTTTACTAACTTAGCTTAGGATACTGGTAGTGGATTTTTGGGTTCCCACTACTGATTTAAGAAAATGAAAAGTAAGCATCTACCCACCTCAGAGTCCAGCTCTTTAAGACACTCAGCACATCGTTTCAGCAAATCCCTTGAAAGTTCAGGTATCCGACTGTGTTGAACCATCTGCTTTGGCACTGGTGAAATTAGCTCCTGTCTCTTCTCTTTCCATTTGAATGCAGTTTTCAAATACAGTTTCTCAAAATCTGCAGTGGATTCACTCCATTCATCTGTTTCTTCCTTGTCAAAGTGAACAGGAGCAGCATCATGGGAAGTAAGACTGGCTAATACACTGGCAAGTATTGCAACATCAACCTCTGGCACCTCTGTCTGAACCTTCAGTGGATTTCTCATATTTGGCAAAAGCCAGTCAAATAAAACCCGCCTTAATGTGTAGGCATCCGCAGCAATGGCAAGGGGGAGTGGACTGAAACTCTCTGGCAGTGGGAATTTCTGAATATAAAGCTGCAGGAATCGTACTGCTGTCTCTATAGGGGCAGTGCCAGTGTTGCCAAACAATGTCCAAATAGTCTTGTCTGCTCTTCCATAGCCAGAGATCACTAGGGAGGTTAACAAGGAGAAGTTTTCTGCTACTGCATTCTGAAGGCTTATATTCCTGAAGAAGAAAGAAAAAGAATTTATAGTTCAAACCTACTACTACTTCTGCAAATTTAATTGTTCTAATTAGCTGGAAATTTATTTAATAAACAAATCAAATATTGACACTTACAGTTATTAAGTTAAAGGATGTGATAAGGCAGTATGATTGATATCTAAATTATAAGGATACTGCACATATAATAAACAATTTTTATTTAGTACACTGGCATTTTTGTTAAGTTTCCTTACCTTACACCTGCAATCCATACTCTTCCCCACAGTAAAGAGTCCCTGCAGTGCCCTTCCCTACTGTCCTGTGTGCCTGAGACATCAGCCACGGCTGCCAAACATCTGGCTAGACCTGCCGTCACCTCAGGTCTGCAAAAGATAATGGTAAGTTACTTGACATGTTATCTGAACACGTAATCTGTCAGGACATGTGATCTACTTGAGGTAAACAAATCCTAAAACTCATTTGGAACATGCATGTTTTTAGTAAAGTAACAACTGAATTAAAAAGGTTCATTTTCCATTAAACACTCATATACACTTCTTAGAATACTCTAACTAGTATTCACATCACTAGAAAAGTGAAAAGGGAAGCAACTTAAAGTAAACATACATTTGTTATTATGATTAAGCAAATATCATACTTATTGTCCTCTCCAAAACTCTGCTCAAGTATTATCAAGAGTTCATGTCTGCGATCTTCATCCATTCCACCTGGATACCTTGACACCAGCTGGGTCAGCAAACCAAGCCTGATAAAAGCAATGAACTTAAAATTCTTCATACAAAATCAAAATCCTGCTTCTAAAAATATACAATGGCTTATGATCAAAAGATACTTTTTTCAATTTTGAAAAAAAAAAGGTTCGTGTCCACTGATGGCAATTAGACACATCCAAATATGCCACTGGCACTGTGGAATATATGCCGCTGGCTCAATGATATTTATCAGAAAGAATGGTCATTTACGTTGGCCAGTTTCTTACCATGGTAAAGTATGGCTTTTATTCTGTGTATGGAGTTTGTCAGTGATGGTCTGCCAGCCAACCTCAATGCCTCTTCTCTTAGCCCCTCCACTCTGTGTGGTACTAATCTGTGTGACTTCCAGCACAGCGGTCTCCTCACTAAAAAGCTTTTTGATATAAAAGTTTACACTTCAACACTTATGTATTAGGTGACCGCTGTGGTCTACAGGACATGTGAAGCAACAATCAAATTTAAAATGTATTCTCTTTGTCACTAAAACAACTTAAAATTCATATAGTACTTTGTTTGTGTAACAAGGGTGTCTTAATCTGCACGTACTACATTGATTTTTGATGCTTAAAAATGAAGGAAGGAGAGAGAGAGAGAGAGAGAGAGAGAGAGAGAGAGAGAGAGAGAGAGAGAGGAGAAGAAGAAGGTGGGGAAATCTTTCCTGAATGTGCACACAGAACTCCTCAACAGTTGCACCAAGACCAAGTTCATGCCACGGTCCACTAAGTACACTTCTGCAGACTACTAGGNGAGAGAGATATGGATGTACCTGATGGCAAACATCAGCTGCAAGAGCAATAAGAGCTGGTTTCACAGCAACCTCTCTTGATCTGTAAATATAATGTCAAAATAATCTAGCACTGCATAAATATTAATTTATACATAAAGTAAAGAAATTAAAACAAAAATTACTCAAAATTACTCACTGAAGTTGTAGTCTTAATATATTTCTACAAAATTATCACTCAAACCTCCCAATGTAGCACAGATCCTACCCAGTGGTATAACGAGTCCTTGTCTCTTGAGTTCCAATTTCTTCCAGTAGCACACTGTACAGCTTGGTCAGATTGTACTGGGAAAAAAATCAGTAAATGCTTAAAGATAACTTATATGGGATATACCTGCCAAAATGAATTGTTTTTTTGGGAAAAAAGTAAAATCTTCCTGGTCGTGAGTCATTACTCAACCGTTCCCTGCACTTGAACTCTCAGATTGATTCATTTTCTAGTTTAGTGATTAAATTCTAAATGACAGGTCATTATTTAGAGTGCCATGTCTTCCTGTGCATTTCAGTGTTCAGATGGAACTCTTGATATCAGGTCTTTTATTTGAGGGGTTATATAGATTTTAAGGTCTGAGTAAGGAAAGATTAGTAACTTTGCATGCTATGTAGACATAGTAAATATGATTCTGGGAAATTTCAAAGTGCATTCAATTTGCCAGAAAAATTATTATTAAGGATCATATCAAATATAATGCATTTTAATAAGTCATGAGGCTGCAAAGTCCTTTTTTTCTTGATTGAATCAATCCATATAAAGGTAAAAAGCATTACCTTCCAAGACCTGGAATCTACAGCAAAAGCACCTTCTTCTTCCGTTTTTGCACCTTTGGGATGATGAATAGAAACCTGATGTTGCCAACATTCAATGATTGCACTCTGTAATAATAATAAAAAAATGGTATTCATAATACAAGGGTTAGTCTAATAATTTTATTATTTTTATTTTACTGGCAAAAATTCTCTCTTTTTGTTCTTAATTGTTCAACTATTCATTGGTAACCATAAATATCTGATCAACTGGTCATACAGAAACCCAAATAAACTTTCAAAGCAGTTTTCATTACAACCTTAAGTCTGTCTGTGGGCCTGTAGCTCCAACAATAGAGTAATCCTGGGAAAATGTCTTCACCAAGACGAGAGAACTGTGTCCTGCACCTGGCTGCAACAGTTTTGGTTAGCTCATTGAGGGATGAGATGAGACGCTCCAAGATATTGCTGGTTATACTGACTTCAGACCTAATCATGGATGCAAGGAATGAACACACTCAACATTATAATGGTAACAAGCAGAAGAAGGTACCACATACTACATAAACTACTGGCATCCAGATCTATCTTTAAAAGTGACTATCAAAAAGGATAATTTAGCATTTCTGAATGTCTCAGTAAAAAGGTTGGTTTTAATAATACTTAAAGATGTTAAATTCTGCTTCTGGTATTATCACTCTTCAAAAATTTTCACTTGCACCTGCATATGCCAGTAGTTGTTGCATAAAGGTACATATGACCTTTCATTCTACTTAGGTTTGATACTGGGTATACAACTCTAGATAACCACCTATTGTCCATTACCCAATAATTTGTTGTACTTCTGTGACTTGAAATTTGTTAGTCATTGCTAAAACAAACTGTATCAAAGATTTTGTAGCATTTGTCACAGTGACATTTAAAATAGTTGTATCTCTAATTTTTAAAATATTCCACCATTTTAGAACAGATATTCCACCATTTTTTCAGTAGCATGTTATTTATTCTGCAAAAGATAAGTACATTTCAGTTTGAAAAATTAAACTTATACCTTAAAAAATCTAGGGCCAACACTTTTGTATAGAATTCAAGGAAGCATTTTGGTCTAAGGTCAGCTTGTCTAGTAGCCCCACGCATCATCAACTGAATGATTTGAGCTGACAGGAAACGATTGAAGCCTACTGGAGACTGGTAGAACAACTGACAATATATCTGCAGTAAACCTGCAACAAACATAAAAAAATTAATTTACCATACATGCTTCTCAAAAATGGTTTTAAGTAATTTTCTAGAGTTTGAAATAATTCCTTAATATAACTCATTTAAATTGGAAAATTATTACAGTATGACCTGACTTCTGTCTTTGAATACTAAGGCTGGTAAGAGAATATGGAGAATATCACACACAAAACAACAATAGTAATAAATAAAGATAATAATAATCAATAAAAATAAATTTAAAAAAAAATAATAAAACTCTCCAAAAAAACTTTTATCAGACTTACCCTGCCAAGACTTGGGTGGAATGTCTCTCCAATATCTCTGTTCAGGTAAAATTTCTTTCATAAGAATGTTACTATAATCGGCACCAACAACTGAACATGCAAACTCATCTTGCAATGTTGTCTGAATATGCTCTATTACATCAGTTACTTTCAATCGGGGGCCATCTGAAAAACAGAGGTAATCTGATTCTTTTCCAGGAAATAATGTCCCTATTTCAAAGTACAGTATATCAGGCTGGGACTAATAAATGTAGGTGGTTATATATATTAAACACAAAAGCATGCAGCAGACAAGTTTTCTGTATTATCTCTACCTAGATAATCTTTAAACATTGCCTTAGATGCTTCTTAATGTTTGGATGCTTATCAATGGCCTATTTGATATAAAAATAATGTCTTTAAATTTAAAGGAGTTGGAAAATAGCTTACTCTTGTTAATAGTTCTGATGACTGTTTTAAAGATAAAACATATTTCCAGCTTCTTCTTGTTAGTTGTAGCAGCTGTTCTTGATTGTCCCTTTTGCAGAGCCTCAAGTTCTTTTCGAACAAAACCCTTCACTGCCTGAAAAAAAATGTTTGGTTGTTTATATAATTGTTTTTATCTATCATAATACAAGCTTGCAATATTTTACTTAGACCTACAAGTTTTAAATGCCAATTAATAGTCAAACATAGTCATGCACCTTAAATTTTTTCATAAAACATTTGCTTCAATAATACAATTATGTTTTTACAAACAGATGCATTATGATGTATAAAGTTATCCAATCTAGCAAGCTTTTAAAGCAGCATTTACAGTGTACATGTACCTTGAATACATTATCCCATCCAAAACCTTTACAGCGTTCTTTTCTCTTTTTGTCTGTAGCCTTGTCTAAACTATGAGTGACATACGTCTTCCCAATAAGTTTCAAAAGTTTGTCTGCACATTTCTTTAGAAAACAGAATAAAAATTGAATTTTAATAATTTCAGACTCTCAAAAAGTCATCTATACACACCATTGATAGTTTCAATTTTAATGTCAGAATTGAATAACACGATGAAAATTTCATTTAAGACTGTAAAATGAACACTTGTTATCTAGATAACAATCACACAAATCATGGTTAAAGGTCTAGTACTAGTACAAGGCTTTGTACACTAAACTGCAATTTGTGACTTGGAGTTGTGGATTAATGATTTGGATCACCTACTGATGACTTGAACTACAATATCACAGTCCAGTTGTACAAATACCAACTGTGTTGGTTATCTCTTTTGAATCACAAATCCTGTCACCTGCCTGTTTGGCATGTTCTGCGTATATGCAAGAGATTTTTCAGAGTGCAATATTTGTGTATTAGGAAACAATAGAATAGAAGATAATAGAAACAAGTTTTTTGTTAAATTGATCTTTTATCCTATGTTTCATAATTATACTAGTACATTTGTACATCTAAATGTATCTGTATCTACATGTACAAATAACAATTGCATTACCTTTCTCTCTGTGACTTTGTCAGACTCCAAGCCAATGCACGTGGACATCATCTCATGGTCCTCCATGTTATACCTAGAACAAATCACTAAGACAAATGAATGGATTTCTTAACAACAATTACGGAAGGGGTGGCAGACACTGTTTTTGTTTGAAGGGGAGGGCACAGATATTGCAAAGTCAGATTTCTTTTTCGGGCGGCTTGATGCTTTCATAATAGGCCTAACAAAAATGCACCACTTCTGCCACGATTAATTAATCGACGATACTGCTTCCTTGAAAAGATCTGCGTGGGGATGAAACTTGGAAGTGGCACTATCAACAACATGTAAACTTTTATATGTAGTATGTTCCCCATCCAAAACAAACAAGTCTTGGGATTTCATTCTTTACCTACATGCATATGCTACGGTGACTATGATCGGTGCAGAAATCTACATCGTATATTTCAGCACTGTGGCAACGCGTTATTACTGCGATACAGATTTAATCAGTGAGTTGCCTATGCCTACCATTAGCCTTGTTCAGACTTCTTAATCTCTCAGACAAGACCTGTAAGTTATCATATAAATTGGGCCACATAAAATGAATCGTTTCAGTTTTTGTTTCGGCGATTAAGCATTTCCCAAAGTTTAAGCACGGCGGCTTCATATGGGTCGGGGTGCTTAATACAAGTAGGATTATGTGGATTAAGAAACAACATAATAGATTTCCTAAAATATCTGTACTCTACGTTTATAAGAAAAATTAAAAGATTCTATTACAGGTATGATGACTGAAAATTAAAAAAATTAATTGATAAAAATCAGTTATTTACTAAATATTATCAATTTACACCTTAGCTATTCTTGTTTTTGTTGTTGCTCGAGTCCAATGCGCAGTTTCGGTGCGCAACGTAGCAACGTGAGATTTCGTTTAGAGGTAAACACGAACTGTTACACAGTTATAAACGCCTTAAATTCTACAATCCATTGTCTTTCTTGAAGTATTTGTCAAGTATTTAGACAAGAGAGGAAACCAGGATGACGTCTTATAGGGTATGTGAAGTGCATTTGTCAAATATACTGTTAATATATCGTGAAATAACCGTCTGGATTTGACATAATTTTTACCTTGATGAGCACCGTTTGCGTTGACAGCTGCATCTGAATCTGAGGCTCAAGTCCATAGAGGCTTATTACTGGAAGTGTTTGTATACTTGGTATTTCCCAAAGACAGAGTCTTTCAAATGAATTGTATGAGAGGTGCTTTTGAGGTTCACAATATCTTAAAGTACTATTATTAAAATGGTCATTGAAATTAAATAAACTATAATTAAACAAAATGGATAATAAATTATAATGATGATAATTAGAAGTGTTTGGAAAATAAAAACTGTGATGATTTTTTTCTTATTATGCTGTGAATTGTCAAGTACTTATTTTATAAACACTGCCTTAAAGACTTGGTGAAATTAATTTCAGGCTGCAGATTCTAAGAGGGAAGAGTTTAGAAAATACTTGGAAAAGGCAGGTGTTCTGGATGCCTTAACAAAAGGTATTTATAGAGATGTTTTCTCATTGTTATAGATTTCAGTCTTTTGTGTTATCAGGTATACATCTTATATTAACCTTGCAATTTGTAGAGACTCAAGAATATTTTAAAATGAAACTGAAGAGTTTACTATAGTGTTTTTAGTTCAACAATAACAAAGGTTACAGTTTGGTATTTGGGTCGTTCAGAATGACCCAGGGTCCCAACAGCTACCGCACACTTACTCCAAAGGGATTCTTGCTGAATGCAATCTAATTAACACACCTCCAGGACCAGGGGGATGTATTTGTAAGCTTAAATATTGGGTAAATGGAACCTTTTTGGAAACTGAGACACTTACCCTGTTTTTCTAGTATTAACAATGTTTGTTTTTTTTTCAGTATTAGTTGGTCTATATGAAGAACCTGAGAAACCAAATAATGCACTAGAGTATCCTTTTTTTGTTGAAGTTTGTGAGATAATACAAGAACACTTGATGCTGAATGAATGTAACATGAGTGTTGAATGTGACGGAACATGGGTGTTGTCCTTCTTGCAGGACTAAATGTATTTATGGGATTGCTTTATGTAAATAATGTATGCATCTGATGTTCTGATATATGAGGGAGTATGAGTGTATTGTAGGCTGACAGTTTTTGCCTATAAATTACAAAGCTTTTTCACAAATGATAAGTGATTACAGCAGAGACAGTACAAGATGTCACTATTTAGTCATGAATAAACTTGCCCTCAGATTTATGGAACTGTTGTGTAGGGACACTCACGATGTACACATGCAATTTAAAAGAACTTTAATGGCACATTTTATTTCTAAATTTTATTCTTGTTCTGATAATGGTGGTAACAATTTTGGTATAGGCTTAATTATTCTTATTAAAAGTTAAACAAACAAAAAATGTTGATTTCCTTGATCTAGCCAAGCTTTCTGAAGCATCATTTAGGAAGTGGTGGACCAGAGACTGCAGATGTGGAGGCCTTAAAACTGGAAGTCACTGAATTACGCCAGAAAGTAGAACAACTAACAGAGGAAAACAGTGACCTCAAAGCAAAAGTAAGCTAATTTGATCTTATTCTGTTGCATGGGCGTAACTAGGCATACGCACGGATGCACTGTGCGTACAATTTTTTGGCCAACCATGATATTATTTTTTTTATAAATTAAGTGTATTTTTCACGGAATANGAGAGAGAGATGTACCTGATGGCAAACATCAGCTGCAAGAGCAATAAGAGCTGGTTTCACAGCAACCTCTCTTGACCTGTAAATATAATGTCAAAATAATATAGTACTGCATAAATGTTAATTTATACATAAACTAAACTGATTAAAACAAAAATTACTCAAAATTTTTCACTGAAGTTGTAGTCTTAATATATTTCTACAAAAATTCCTTAAATTATCACTTAAACCTGCCAATGTAGCATACATCCTACCCAGTGGTATAACGAGTCCTTGTCTCTTGAGTTCCAATTTCCTCCAATAACACACTGTAGAGCTTGGTCAGATTGTACTGGGGAAAAAAACAGAAAATGCTTATATGGGATATACCTGCCAAAATGAATTGTTTTCTTGGGAAAAAAGTAAAATCTTCCTAGTCGTGAATCATTACACAACCGTTCCCTGCACTTGAACTCTCGGATTGATTCATTTTCTAGTTTAGTGATTAAGTTCCAAATTATTAAGAGTGCCATGTCTTCCTTTGCATTTCATTGTTCACATGGAACTACTGATATCAGGTCTTTTATTTGACAGATTATATAGATTTAAAGGTCTGAGTTAGGAAAGATTAGTTACTTTCCAGGCTATGTAGACATAGTAAATATGACTCTGGGAAATTTTAAAAAGCATTCAATTCGCCAGAAAAATTATAATGAGGGATCATATCATATTATAATGCATTTTTAATAACTCATGAGACTGCAAAGTCCTTTTTTTTCTTGATTGAATCAATCCATATAAAGGTAAAAAACATTACCTTCCAAGACCTGGAGTCTACAGCAAAAGCACCCTCTTCTTCCGTTTTTGCACCTTTAGGATGATGAATAGAAACCTGATGCTGCCAACATTCAATGATTGCACTCTGTAATAATAATAAAAAATCCGTATTCATAATACAAGGGTTAGTCTAATAATTTTATTATTTTTATTTTACTGGCAAAAATTCTCCCTTTTTGTTCTTAATTGTTCAACTCTTTTCATTAGTAACCATATTCAATCAACTGGTCACACAGAAACCCAAATAAGCTTTCAAAACAGTTTTTATTACAACCTTAAGCCTGTCCGTGGGCCTGTAGCTCCAACAATACAGTAATCCTGGGAAAATGTCTTCACCAAGACGAGAGAACTGTGTCCTGCACCTGGCTGCTACAGTTTTGGTTAGCTCATTGAGGGATGAGATGAGACGCTCCAAGATATTGCTGGTTATACTGACTTCAGACCTAATCATGGATGCAAGGAATGAACACTCTCAACATTATAATGGTAACGAACAGAAGAAGGTGCCACATGCTACGTAAACTATTGGCATCTAGATCTATCTCTTAAAAGTGACTATCAAAAAGAATAATTTAGCATTTCTGAATGTCTCAGTAAAAAGGTTGGATATGAATAATACTTAAAGATGTTAAATGCTGCTTCTGGTATTATCACTCTTCAAAAATTTTCACTTGCAGCTGCATATGCCAGTAGTTGTTGCATAAAGGTACATATGACCTTTCATTCTGCTCAGGTTTGATACTGGGTATACAACTCTAGATAACCACCTATTGTCCATTACCCAATAATTTGTTGTACTTCTGTGACTTGAAATTTGTTTGTCAATGCTAAAACAAACTGTATCAAAGATTTTGTAGCATTTGTCACAGTGACATTTAAAATAGTTGTATCTCTAATTTCTAAAATATTCCACCATTTTAGAACAGATATTCCACCATTTTTTCAGTAGCATGTTATTTATTCTGCAAAAGATAAGCACATTTCAGTTTGAAAAATTAAACTTATACCTTAAAAAATCTAGGGCCAACACTTTTGTATAGAATTCAAGGAAGCATTTTGGTCTAAGGTCAGCTTGTCTAGTAGCCCCACGCATCATCAACTGAATGATTTGAGCTGACAGGAAACGATTGAAGCCTACTGGAGACTGGTAGAACAACTGACAATATATCTGCAGTAAACCTACAACAAACATAAAAAAATTAATTTACCATACATGCTTCTCAAAAATGGTTTTAAGTAATTTTCTAGATTTTGAAATAATTCCTTAATATAACTCATTTAAATTGGAAATTATTACAGTATGACCTGACTTCTGTCTTTGAATACTAAGGCTGGTAAGAGAATATGGAGAATATCACACACAAAACAACAATAGTAATAAATAAAGATAATAATAATCAATAAAAATAAATTTAAAAAATAATAATAAAACTCTCCAAAAAAACTTTTATCAGACTTACCCTGCCAAGACTTGGGTGGAATGTCTCTCCAATATCTCTGTTCAGGTAAAATTTCTTTCATAAGAATGTTACTATAATCGGCACCAACAACTGAACATGCAAACTCATCTTGCAATGTTGTCTGAATATGCTCTATTACATCAGTTACTTTCAATCGGGGGCCATCTGAAAAACAGAGGTAATCTGATTCTTTTCCAGGAAATAATGTCCCTATTTCAAAGTACAGTATATCAGGCTGGGACTTATAAATGTAGGTGGTTATATATTAAACACAAAAGCATGCAGCAGACAAGCTTTCTGTATTATCTCTACCTAGATAATCTTTAAATATTGCCTTAGATGCTTCTTAATGTTTGGATGCTTTTCAATGGCCTATTTGATAATAAAATTGATGTCTTTAAATTTAAAGGAGTTGGAAAATAGCTTACTCTTGTTAATAGTTCTGATGACTGTTTTAAAGATAAAACATATTTCCAGCTTCTTCTTGTTAGTTGTAGCAGCTGTTCTTGATTGTCCCTTTTGCAAAGCCTCAAGTTCTTTTCGAACAAATCCCTTCACTGCCTGAAAAAAATGTTTGGTTGTTTATATAATTGCTTTTATCTACCATAATACAAGCTTGCAATATTTTACTTAGACCTACAAGTTTTAAATCCCAATTAATAGTCAAACATAGTCATGCACCTTAAATTTTTTCATAAAACATTTGCTTCAATAATGCAATTATGTTTTTACAAACAGATGCATTAATGATGTATAAAGTTATCCAATCTAGCAAGCTTTTAAAGCAGCATTTACAGTGTACATGTACCTTGAATACATTATCCCATCCAAAACCTTTACAGCGTTCTTTTCTCTTTTTGTCCGTAGCCTTGTCTAAACTATGAGTGACATACGTCTTCCCAATAAGTTTCAAAAGTTTGTCTGCACATTTCTTTAGAAAACAGAATAAAAATTGAATTTTAATAATTTCAAACTCTCAAAAAGTCATCTATACACACCATTGATAGTTTCAATTTTAATGTCAGAATTGAATAACACGATGAAAATTTCATTTAAGACTGTAAAATGAACACTTGTTATCTAGATAACAATCACACAAATCATGGTTAAAGGTCTAGTACTAGTACAAGGCTTTGTACACTAAACTGCAATTTGTGACTTGGAGTTGTGGATTAATGATTTGGATCACCTACTGATGACTTGAACTACAATATCACAGTCCAGTTGTACAAATACCAACTGTGTTGGTTATCTCTTTTGAATCACAAATCCTGTCACCTGCCTGTTTGGCATGTTCTGCGTATATGCAAGAGATTTTTCAGAGTGCAATATTCGTGTATTAGGAAACAATAGAAAAGAAGATAATAGAAACAAGTTTTTTGTTAAATTGATCTTTTACCCTATGTTTCATAATTATACTAGTACATTTGTACATCTTAATGTATCTGTATCTACATGTACAAATAACAATTGCATTACCTTTCTCTCTGTGACTTTGTCAGACTCCAAGCCAATGCACGTGGACATCATCTCATGGTCCTCCATGTTATACCTAGAACAAATCACTAAGACAAATGAATGGATTTCTTAACAACAATTACGGAAGGGGTGGCAGACACTGTTTTTGTTTGAAGGGGAGGGCACAGATATTGCAAAGTCAGATTTTTTTTCGGGCGGCTTGATGCTTTCATAATAGGCCTAACAAAAATGCACCACTTCTGCCACGATTAATTAATCGACGATACTGCTTCCTTGAAAAGATCTGCGTGGGGATGAAACTTGGAAGTGGCACTATCAACAACATGTAAACTTTTATATGCAGTATGTTCCCCATCCAAAACAAACAAGTCTTGGGATTTCATTCTTTACCTACATGCATATGCTACGGTGACTATGACCGGTGCAGAAATCTACATCGTATATTTCAGCACTGTGGCAACGCGTTGTTACTGCGATACAGATTTAATCAGTGAGTTGCCTATGCCTACCATTAGCCTTGTTCAGACTTCTTAATCTCTCAGACAAGACCTGTAAGTTATCATATAAATTGGGCCACATAAAATGAATCGTTTCAGTTTTTGTTTCGGCGATTAAGCACTTCCCAAAGTTTAAGCACGGCGGCTTCATATGGGTCGGGGTGCTTAATACAAGTAGGATTATGTGGATTAAGAAACAACATAATAGATTTCCTAAAATATCTGTACTCTACGTTTATAAGAAAAATTAAAAGATTCTATTACAGGTATGATGACTGAAAATTAAAAAAATTAATCGATAAAAATCAGTTATTTACTAAATATTATCAATTTACACCTTAGCTATTCTTGTTTTTGTTGTTGCTCGAGTCCAATGCGCAGTTTCGGTGCGCAACGTAGCAACGTGAGATTTCGTTTAGAGGTAAACACGAACTGTTACACAGTTATAAACGCCTTAAATTCTACAATCCATTTTCTTTCTTGAAGTATTTGTCAAGTATTTAGACAAGAGAGGAAACCAGGATGACGTCTTATAGGGTATGTGAAGTGCATTTGTCAAATATACTGTTAATATATCGTGAAATAACCGTCTGGATTTGACATAATTTTTACCTTGATGAGCACTGTTTGCGTTGACAGCTGCATCTGAATCTGAGGCTCAAGTCCATAGAGGCTTATTACTGGAAGTGTTTGTATACTTGGTATTTCCCAAAGACGGAGTCTTTCAAATGAATTGTATGAGAGGTGCTTTTGAGGTTCACAATATCTTAAAGTACTATTATTAAAATGGTCATTGAAATTAAATAAACTATAATTAAACAAAATGGATAATAAATTATAATGATGATAATTAGAAGTGTTTGGAAAATAAAACCTGTGATGATTTTTTTCTTATTATGCTGTGAATTGTCAAGTACTTATTTTATAAACACTGCCTTAAAGACTTGGTGAAATTAATTTCAGGCTGCAGATTCTAAGAGGGAAGAGTTTAGAAAATACTTGGAAAAGGCAGGTGTTCTGGATGCCTTAACAAAAGGTATTTATAGAGATGTTTTCTCATTGTTATAAATTTCAGTCTTTTGTGTTATCAGGTATACGTCTTATATTAACCTTGCAATTTGTAGAGACTCAAGAATATTTTTAAATGAAACTGAAGAGTTTACTATAGTGTTTTTAGTTCAACAATAACAAAGGTTACAGTTTGGTATTTGGGTCGTTCAGAATGACCCAGGGTCCCAACAGCTACCGCACACTTACTCCAAAGGGATTCTTACTGAATGCAATCTAATTAACACACCTCCAGGACCAGGGGGATGTATTTGTAAGCTTAAATATTGGGTAAATGGAACTTTTTTGGAAACTGAGACACTTACCCTGTTTTTCTAGTATTAACAATGTTTGTTTTTTTTTTCAGTATTAGTTGGTCTATATGAAGAACCTGAGAAACCAAATAATGCACTAGAGTATCCTTTTTTTGTTGAAGTTTGTGAGATAATACTTGATGCTGAATAAATGTTACATGAGTGTTGAATGTGACGGAACATGGGTGTTGTCCTTCTTGCAGGACTAAATGTATTTATGGGATTGCTTTATGTAAATAATGTATGCATCTGATGTTCTGATATATGAGGGAGTATGAGTGTATTGTAGGCTGACAGTTTTTGCCTATAAATTAAAAAGCTTTTTCACAAATGATAAGTGATTACAGCAGAGACAGTACAAGATGTCACTATTTAGTCATGAATAAACTTGCCCTCAGATTTATGGAACTGTTGTGTAGGGACACTCACAATGTACACATGCAATTTAAAAGAACTTTAATGGCACATTTTATTTCTAAATTTTATTCTTGTTCTGATAATGGTGGTAACAATTTTGGTATAGGCTTAATTATTCTTATTAAAAGTTAAACAAACAAAAAATGTTGATTTCCTTGATCTAGCCAAGCTTTCTGAAGCATCATTTAGGAAGTGGTGGACCAGAGACTGCAGATGTGGAGGCCTTAAAACTGGAAGTCACTGAATTACGCCAGAAAGTAGAACAACTAACAGAGGAAAACAGTGACCTCAAAGCAAAAGTAAGCTAATTTGATCTTATTCTGTTGTGTCAAATTTGTTCAGTAGTTAGAATTGAGCAGTGTACAGTAATGGTCAAGTACAGGTTTATGAAAATTTACCAACAAGTCTGGTCTTCTATTCGCTAAGGCAAGTGTGCTCAAATTAGTGATGTATCTATTTTAATTATCATTTTAGCTTCAAGCTTATGAGCCACCAGCAGAGGAGCCAACAGCTGATAGCTGAACAAAACAAAAACATTGGTGATATAAAAGGAACATTTTAAAATCTCAGAATAAAACTGCCTATGCAGAAGAAATAGTGAGCAAACGTCCTTATGGCTTTAATGATACATTTTTAAGAAGAATATTTATGCAGAGTTCAACAAGGCAGGGTTATTGTTCAGCTAAAAAACTTCGAAACTTGACAACTGTTATATTCATTGATTTCATGGAAAATTTTAATTTACAACTGTCAAAAACAAATCTGATATAGTATCAAAAATGTTGGTAAAGTATACTTTATTTTAAGATGTAGATTTTTTTTATTTCTTGTGGAAATACAGGTTTTTGTCCTATATTTAATTCTTTGAGTTTTTTGTCAGATTTATGATATATTTGTTTGCATGAGAAAAATGACTCCCTTAGTGCCTACAACTGGACATAAAAATTTTGACAAAAATAATTGGAACTATCAGTGGAAAAAACACTAAAACATCTTCCTTTGGCATTGCTATAGCAAAGTTTCAAAAGATTTCCTTTCTTTCATTCCAGTTTTGTCAAGTCCTGTTCCTTTCCATTGTTGTATTATAAACATTGGTTGTTTAAGGTGATGGTTTTCTTGTTGGTCTTCTTATTGCAGACTTGTACATCAGTCATGGCAAGCAAAATCTCCTCCACCATACTGATTTTTCCACTCAATAGTAACGATGTAAAGAAATATGTATGGATTGTGTTCTGTAAGAAAAACAAAACTTATTGTTGACTTTTTCAAATATCTAGTATTACTTTATTAATCTTGGTTCTTTACAATGATGAGCAGTGAGTTTGACACTGTGGCATTCATACAATGCATTGATACCAATTAAAGTAGCATCACAACAGCGAGAAGCAACTATTTACTCATGCATGCAGCAGACATTATGTTTGTAATGAAACTAATTCAGAATACCTGTTGACTGCCTGCTTTCAACTTAAAAATGAACACCTGTAAAACTTAACAGCATCTAATGTGGTCTAGAAATGCTATTTCACATATGCTGAAAACTTATAAATAAATTTACTAGACTACATTTTGAACATTTACTCCTTGAATAATGTCATATAATCTCACAATGTGAATTGACAAAATACTTCACCAGGAAAGTGGCCTTAATGACTAGCCTTGTCTTGACATGACAGGGATGGCCATCACACTAAATCTTAACATGACAAATTGTTCAGTTGTGTACCGTGGACAAATGATAGTCAATATCAAATGGTGCGAGTTACAAAAGCAGAGTGTGCTGCAAAAATTGCGGTGCAATCACAATTGTTTTGAAATTAACAAACATTAGTTTCACACATTTCTTCTTGATAGGTTGTTATTAGTTGACTCAGAAATAAATATTGTTTACTGAATATTAAAAAAATAACACTTGAAAATACAAGCATAAACTACTTTGATATATATATATATTTTAATACAATTTAGGTAATTGAAAAAAAGACTGATGACTGAAATTTTGACCTTGAATAAACTGTATTTCATATAAATACACAGTTCTTTGGTTAAAATCTATTCCTTAATTCTTCATTTTTTACAATTATAACCTAATCATCAGTAGGTGACTAGGTCAGATCAATGTTTTACTGTCTATAGCGTACAACAAGTATGAGGACATAATCCTAAATACTATTTTTTTAATTTAAAAAGACGTACTTGAAAATATAACATCTTGTACAGTAACAATTTCATATAGAGAAAATGACCTTTACATGGAAATATCAGCCAGAAAAAAAAATTTGCAATTAAATTAAAAATTGGCAATAAATTCTTTGTATAATTCAAAATATTCTGATAATCTTGTAATGCTTTAAATAAATGGTACTGAACTAGCTCCTGAAATGGTAAACGCAAGCCAAAATATTGTTAATGATAAGGATATTAAAAAAAAACCTTATTTATAAAATTACACCTTACCTTACTGCTGTTGAGCATTCTTGCCTCCCTAACACATTGTTGTCACAACAAAGTTACAAGAATGCTGATTCAAAGCCATCAAGTTACATTAGTTGGTGTATATTTTGCAGAAACGGGAGAAAATGACTGTTAAATTCTGGTAAAAAGTGAAATGTTATGATAATGCATCTC